GAATATTATTAATATACATAGTGTAGAACATGTCTAGGTAGGGTTAGAGCAAGTTGTTTACAAAATGTTAAAAAGTATTAAGCGTGTTAGCTAAGCTAAAGGGCATTACTAAGTACTTAAATAGTCTATATTAAGTCTAAAACACTATTAGCTACTTATTACCCTTTACTATCTTTAGCTTATTAAAGGTAGTAATAATATTTAACTTTATAAAATACTTTACTTTACTTAGTTAGCTTAGAGTTTTCTGTAAAAAAAAAATTAAGTATTAGTTTTTAATAGTAATAATGTTTAGTTCTTAGTAGTTAACACAGAATTAAAGCCTACTTTTAGGTTTTTTTATAAATAGTATAAGTAACACTACTAGTAAAAAGCTAGCTTAAATAAACTTTTTTTTTAAGTTCTTATTAAAGTATTTTTAGAGCACTTTTAATTTATTTAGTAACATTTTATATAGTAGCCTATAACTAGGTTGTTTACTAGGCTTAAGAGTTATCTAGTAATTATATAAATGTTATATTAAAAGCTTATTAAACTTATCTTAAAAGAAGACATGTAATAAGTTATAGTAGTTTTAAAAAACTATTATTTTTAAGTTAGTATATTTTTAAAAAGCTAAAGCTTAGTCTATATTAAAAATTATAACTGCGTAGATTTTATAATTTAGTTATTAAGCTAGGGTTATAAATAGGGCAGGTTCTATATAGCAGATGTCTATCTGCTGTTTAAGTCCTAGTTTATGTTTAAATTAAGTAGGTAAAAGTTTTTTAAAAGCTTTTTTTTTTAAGTTTAAGTAGTTATTAAATTATTTTATATAGCCTATTTTAGTAAAAGGCCTAGCTTATTAGCCTTACTTAAGTAGTTTTTTTTTAAGTTATTAAAAAGTAAGTTTAGAAACCTTCTATATTAAGTGCTATTTAAGTGTTATTTAGGTGTAAGTATAAGTATATGTCTTAGCATTAGAAAAAGTTAAAGTTTAGAACTTACTCTTAGTAATTAAAAGCAACTTTATGCTAATATAGCTATAGTTATCTTAAGATTAGGTTATAACATCTTATGTTTATTATATAAAGCTTAATCTGCTTCTTATAGTGTTAGTAAGTAATTATAATAGTTATAGTATAAAAAATAAAACTTTTTTTAAGTTATTTTTTATTAAATCTAGTTAAGTAAATTATTTAGGTAAGTAGTGTTAATTAAAGATTTAGTTTATGTGCTAGTTCTTTATTAATATAACTTATGCTATTTACTTCTAAGTTAATAAAAGCTTATATTAAAGCTAATATAGTTTTTTATTATAAATATATAAAAATATTAACTTAGTACTTCTAGTTATTAGTAAAGGACTTAGCCTATAAGTTAGTAAAGATCTAGTGTTAAATTAGTTCTAAAGAGTAACTTAGCCCTAGAACAAGCCTTTTTATAGGCTTTTACTGCTATAGCTGCAGCTATGTTAAAAGTAGTAAAAAAGATTAAGGCTTAAATATAAGTTAAAGCCTTTATAAAAATAAAATTAAAATAGTAAGAATCTTTAATAAGTGCTAGTAGTGCTACTTATATAAACTTAAAAAAGAGAAATAAAGCAGTTTTAAAAAATATAACTATACTTACTACACTTAAAGCATTAACTTTTTTTTTTATAATTTTTACACTTTTTAGAACTAACTAGAGTATAATTTAAATTAATTTTTATTATATTAAAGTTTTTATTTATAACTGCGCTAGTTTAGGGGCGTATTAAAGCTTATATAAAAAGAAACCTTATGTTATTATTATAAGTAGTAATTAAGTTTACATACATATTAAGGTTGTTTAAGAGGGGTTTTTCTACTATAGCGTGTTATAGTTTAGTTAAAAAAGAGTTATATAAGGCTATAATTAAACCTATTTTATTTAGGCCTATATTAAATGCAAGTTAGTAGAACTTAATAAAGTGTAAAGTAAAGCTTTTTTTTTTTATTATAAAGTGTTTAAGTAACTTAAGGCTATTAACTTTTTATTTAAGTGTCTATAAGTTACTTATAAAAACACTATAAATTAATCTAAGTTAATAATATCTTTATTTATTAGTAAGTTAATTAAGGCTGTTATATTATAGTTAAGTTAAAAGTAGGCATATAGTAACTAAAAGTGTTTAAAAAAAAATTAGTCTATGTTTTCTTTAAGTTTATATTAAAGCTTATATAAGAAAAAAAGTAAGTTTTTTTATTTTTTATTAAATAGTAGAGAATTAGAGAGTTAGTTAGATTTTATTACTAAGTTAAAAAAGTTATAAGTTATAAATAGTATTAAGTAGAAAAAAGTTAAGCTATTTTTAGACTTTTAAGTAAGCTTTAAAGCTAGTAAGTTCTTAGTTTTTACTACTATAATAAAAGTTAAAGTAAAAATAGACTACTTAATAATATAAAGCTATTTTTTAAAGTTCTTTTAAAAAGCTTTAAAGCTTATAACATAGTAGCTTTTTTATAAAGTAAGCGCTTTTTAAAAGGCTTTTTAGCTTACTTTAATAGCTTAAAGTTATATAAGTACTAAGCTTATTAGATTAAATTTAGAGGCTATTCTTAGCTAAAGTTTTAACATAACATAATATTATAATTATGTATAAGTAAGGTTATAAAGCTTTATAAAGGTCTAGTTTAATTACTATGTAAGGTATTATAGTAAGTATAAGATGTTATGTAAGAAATAAAAAAGTTTAAAAAAAAATTAGTAATTAAATACTTAGCTTAAAAGTCTAAGCGCTTTAAGTATAAATTAAGCCTATTTTAAGTTTAGTTAGTGTTAAAGCAGTTTATGCTTAAGTTTATATCTATGTTGTGTTATGTTTGTGTTAGACGTGCACTAATAATACTCTAGTACGCGTCTAATATGGTTATGTCTGGGATCCGGGGAGGATACCGTGACACACTAGACTACCATCCACTAGACTACAGCTTAACAACTAGCAGACCAAATCTCCTAGAATTTTGCAGGCTCCCTAATAGAGCTAGTCTAAGACAGCTCCTAGATCCTCAGAGTTCTTAGACAACAGCTGGTTAAGTTGGAGCGAGTAGGTGATTAGGCTGATCGCCTCTGTAGCCAGAGCTTGACAACAACACGACAGAATTAGCTAGAATTTAGAATAGTATAAGAATAGGCTTGTCTTAGATAGGCCTTAAATTCTGATGATGATATATTGTGTGGTTGGGGAGTCGCATTGAGGTGCAGTCGTAGGGTCATTATAATGCCCTGCGCAGGACTTAGTAACGCAGTACTTTGCTGAATCTTGTTAGAAACAGGTTACAAAAATGATAGAATATAGCTAGAGACTTTCTCTATTACCTATCAAAATCTGAGCTGGTTTGGACGTATAGTGGTAGAGTTACAATAATTCTTAGTTGAGCTGGTGCATGGTGGAGGAGGTTTAGATCCACGAAATCACCTAAAAAATCACAAAAGTCCCTTAGACGGCTGGGGAGAGAAAGCCTTTCTTATACCCTCATTGGCTAGAGAGATGGGGCTTGCGCCACTGAGGCTACTAGCCAGGGTTCCAATTGACTAGCAGGGGCTTGCCCCTGTCGAGGCTCTCTCCCCATCCCGTCTGAGCTTGCTGAGATAAGTGGCAGGCAGCCAAAATACGCACGCTAACCATTTTCGGACAAGACGCAGAAGTCTCCGCCACATTATCGTAAGCTTTTCATTCCTCGAAATACAGTTCATAGATCAAGATCAGAAGTTGACATAAAGTATCATTCACCGAGAGTAGATGGGCATGTGCTTAGACTCACCCTTAGCACGCTCAAGACGAGCCTTCTGCACCTCCTGCCACTCCTGCAGCGGGTAATCGAACTGTTCGGTCAAATCTTCCGTCGCCCATGCATCAGCTTTGCCCACTGGTAAATGCTCCACAAAGACAGTCAGCCCTGCCTCCTTCAGCTCCAGCACCACGGGTCGAAGATATCTCAGGGTCCTGACAGCTTCGCTCCATAAGCGACGCCCACCACCCCATGTTCTGAGTCGAATATAAAGTTTGCAAGAGTTTCTTTTCTTGACACTTAGCAAAGCTCGCATGTTTCTCTTAAGATTGTCGTAGACTGCTGTCGAGTCGGTTCGGCTGGTGAGCAAGTATGACTTTTGCTCATGGCAATGTGTCCGCACGTCCACTTGGATGCGATGAACGTGATCCCGGGGAAGTATTCCAGTCCCGAAAACATCAAAATTCAACGCCTTTTCCAAGTCTTCCGCATCTTGGACAATGAATAATGTTCTTCGGTGATAGTGCGCGGCAATCTCGGCAGCGACCTCGGATCCAATCAATTGAGGGTCCAAATGGACGCCAGATGAGCGGATACTGAAATCTTTACGGTTCTGGATTGGAAACGGGTTGACCTCCCGGCGCCTAATCGTAATATCTTCCAATGGATAACTCAGGTATTCGTACACCATATCTCGGAGTTCTTGCGGTAGAGTGTTAAGGAAATATTGAGCAAAGTCAAGGCGGGCGACGCTTTCGTAGTGTAAAAGCTCATCATGAACCTCCCTTTAGTCTATTAATGACATGTCTCGCGCAGTCTGCCAAAGGTTGGTCAAGACCTACTTTTCGAGGGCCACTTCCAGTCCTCTGAGTTTTTCCCTCTCTTTACGTAACTTTAGGATTTGCTGGCTATTCTCTTTAATTCTGTGGAAAACATAAGTATGGAAGTTTCTGAAATCATGAAAGCTCGTACTGTAATTGGACGGAGCGTTGTTTATTCAGTAGGCTGGAGAGGTGTCAGCACGGTGCTGCTATCCAGCAGTCCAAGTTAGGATGACGAACTTGTAGGCACGACGATAGGGAGACATGGCGGAAGTTTCCATCATAGAATGTTTGACAGTACAAATAGCAGAAGGAGACAGGTCGGAGAGGAAGAGGTGACGCAAAAGGTACTGGACCGAGTATTTAGGCAGGAAACTACGCTAGTCTCAAAGCGGTTTGGTCCGAAGACATCTACGATTCGGACTCAGCCACTTTAGCACAGATAGACGCAGATTTCACAATGCCTACTTAGTCGCCCTCCTGCGAATTCTAAAAGGCGTCTCCTGGTCCGGCTGCTGACTGCCAAATCCACTGCCCCGCTCTTCCATCCAACGAAAATTTCAGACGCTTCTTCCCAGACTTGTCGCTCTCGTTGACCAGGAATGGATGGGTCCAGACGTCCAAGTGTGGGTGCTTTCCATATCTGCTATCTCACTGCGAGTGCATGTGGTTAACATAGCTTGAGACTATGGCATCTTGGTTTTTGGGCAACAGCCATCCTTCCACATGGTGCTCTCTGGGGGCAGGTACCAAAGGCAAAAGATCATATTCACTCACATACAAGCATATTATTTGTCAATAAATGGCCAGCGGATACCAATGTCGCAATATAAGTCCCCAATTTCCATTTCCACTAGTGTCAGTAATGCGTATCTTTGAGTTCGCAGCCATCTAAAGTGAACAAGGCAGAGAGAGGCTGTTATGTGGACTTTTAGGACGAATTATTGGAAATTTGACCAACAGCCTTTCTCTCATGTATTTAGAGGGACAGTAAATCTATATAGCATAATTTAAAAAAAAAAAAAAAAAAGTTAAGATCTAAGGACGTTCCTCACACACACCCTACCTGGGCTAAGTGGACACGCATCTTCCGGGGAGCACTTCGAATCTAGCAGTGAATTACAGGAGGAAGACCACTGAGAACGCCGAGGGTTTAAGTGACTCACAGTGGACGAGTAACAATAACCTCTCTGCTCAGTTTGGGAGGCTAAAAGAGCTCGAAATGACGCGAGACATGCCTCCACAATAGCTGTAGGAAACATCAAATTTTTAGGCTCGTGTATTGACGGTTTTGTATCACTCACTAGTACCAGGCTCTACTTTGAGCCATATATATAACCCGGTAGCCTCTATTTGGCCATTTACAGCTATGCACTCAATAACGCCAATACGAGAGATGGCTCAGAGGAGGATTAAACCGGTAAGTGTGAACAAACTTTCAAGGCGAGCTCGCGCCGTAATAAGTCAAACTCGCCCCAGAATCGCGATACGATTTATCACGACTAATTATATGTTCAGACCACGCGGCATACTTATTAGTCAGACCAGGAGCGACATCTATAGCAGTGATGACCTTCAGGCCGGTCATAGTGAATTTGACAACCTTATCGGTAGTGCACCGGGCTGCGCACGGTTACATGAGCGATTCAACTCCCCACTACGAGTAGACGAACCTATACCAATGAGGCTGGGTACATCGTCGAGACCATGAAGGATTGCTATGGGGCCTACTCATGTAGACAGGTAACATCAAGGACACCAACACCACAGCTATCCACCACAATGGCCGATGCTATTTAAGTTAATGTCCCAAGCGCTTGAACAAGAAGACACAAGAGTGTTAGAGTATCACAAGCCAATATCTATAAAAGTTATTGCTGCAATTTGGCTGTTGATGTAGTCTCTCATGTGGTCCAAAACGTCGTATCAAATACTGCCGCACTGGTATATTGAGCAATAGTCTCGCAAAGCCCTATGGCCTTGACGTGTCATTCGATAGAGAACGTAGTACTCCTTGCCCAAACTGAAATAACGAAGACATCATCGGTTTTGAGACAACCAAACAGCTTCAGCAGTATAATGATGGGATCAGTGAGGCAGAGTGTTGCGGTAAGCCATCCAACCTAACACACAAATTACCGAGTTTAGCGCAGATATTGCTAATAGGCTATTATGGCTACTAAAACTATGAGGAAAGCGTTTCTTCCTACTAAAGCTAGCGCGATGAAATACGACACGGCCTAGAAAAACACGGGAGTTCTACGAATGGAAGGTAGATTTCCCCCGAACGGAAAGGCAGACCACGAACTGATAACACAAAAGAGCAAACTCAGTGTCACCATGGTGATTGCATGAGTTTCGATACAGTCGAATTGCAGAAGAATGTTCCAGCCCCCTCAAATTCCAGTGATGTATTGGTAGATATTTTATAACTCCTCCTGATTAGAGCGTATTATTAGGATCGAAACACTAGGGACAGGTAACCTAGAGGCGCTCGCCTCGAACTTACACATATTATTCTATGCCTCAATATCAACATACATGGCGCATCATCTCAATAAACCACAACCACCGAAACGGTGAAACCTGACTGTCCCGCATCTATACCTCATGATATTTCCAAGCACCCTAACCACCCGCCTCATGTTAACCTAGAGATGACATCACAACGCCTATTCTCTTACCAAGCGCTTCGATGACCCAGTCTTGGCGAAATAAATAGTACTCTGCAAGCGGATAGGTTACCCGAACAAGCCGCGCATCTTAATATGCACTAAAAAACGACATTCTAACCCTAAATATCTTACCAGCTACCCAAAAAAGGAATAGAAAATCTAAATAAGTTATCTATAACACGTCTGTTTAAATTTTATCATTTATTCGGATGCACTTGTTGAGATATTATAAGGTAAGATTTCGATTTTTAGCTGTCCTCAAAGGTGCGCAGCTCGATTGTAGAATAATACAGTTAGCCTTCGTTTAGGTTTTTGTAATTAGCCTGCCTTGCAACCGATGAATCACTACGAGTTTATATTCGCTCTTCATAAAGAAATGTATTTTAAAGACGTCTAGATTACCAAAGCAGGCTCCGCAAACCTTCATCCTACCGCACCGGAACGTTGACTCGCAAACACACATTCGAGCAGCTCCGACCTGCGGGGAACCCACTAGCTCATCCTAGGCTAACTAACCAATCAGAGCACAGGGCCTTAGAAATAGGCAACCATGAGCCTACGCTAACTGTTATATCAAGAACATTGGATATTCTTCTGCATCTCGTACCAGCGACAAATTATTCCTCTTCCCAAGTGACTTATCTCTTATTTCGCGAAGCTACCACTTATTCAAGCATCTCATCTTCGACTCTCCCGTCTTTCACAATCTCACAAAATGTCCAGGAGATCTGGGCCCCTAGCTCCAGGCATCGCCTTCATCACCGGCGGCGCCCGCGGCCTCGGCAATGCTATCGCCGTCTCCTTTGCTAAAGAAGGAGCGAGCGGTGTTGCTATCGTCGACATCCAACATGACGTCACTTTCCAAGAAGGGAGGAAGAAGGTTGAGGAATTCGGATGTGAGGTACTACCTTCTTAGTCGCCCCCTTTTTCCCTTCCTTCTCCCTTTGAGTTTTATATATGAAATATGACCTCGGGATTTAGAGGAGCGCCAGATCACATGGTAACATATGGACAGTGTCTTACCATCCGTGCGGATGTGACAAAAGAAGAGGACATGGAGAGAGCTGTGAAAGAGGCGGTCGAGAAGTTTGGGAGGATTGACTACGCGGCGAATTTCGCTGGGATTGTGGGACCCGGCGCACCTATTTCCGAAATCGATGTATCAGAATGGCAAAAGACGCAGGACGTGAATTCAAAGGGTGTTTTGTTGGCCACGAAATACGAGATGCGCCAGATGATGAAACAGGAGTCTATTGAAGTCGAATTAGGGCGGGTTCTGCAACGCGGTTCAATCGTAAACTGCGCGAGCGTGAATAGTCTACAATCAATGCCCGGGACCAGTGCGTATACTGCGTCGAAGCATGCGTGCCATGGAATTACGAAAGCGGCGGCATTGGAGGGTCGGAGCTGTAATATTCGGGTTAATGCGGTATCGCCGGGCTTCTTGCTGACAAAGATGATAGAGAGTAGTGTTTTGGGGGGTGATATGAAGTTGGGCCAGGAGATGTGGAGTACATTCGAGGCGAGGCAGGGGCGGAAAGCGCAATTTGAGGAGGTGGGAGATGTGGTGGTTTTGATGAGTTTGCCTAGGATGAGTTTAGTGAATGGGCAGAATTTGTTCATTGATGGGGGGTTTACAATTAATGAGAGCAACACTTAAGTGGGAAGAAAAGGAGTTACGTTTAGGCTGGATATGGATTGAGTGTGTCTTATTGATGTTTATTTGGATCAAGAGTCTATTGTCCAGGGCACGTCCGTTTTTCGGATATATGGTGCCAGCTTCTCCACATCGTGCATGACCTCTGCTTTCACACGTCCGTTCCCGAGATATGCCCACATATTCTGATTGCGGTACCGGATGTCGTAGTGCTCATACTTAACATCTTTGATCGTCTTCATATAATGAAGGGACTATGAGAGATTAGCGACGACCTAGATATGAGAAGAGAAGAATTTACTGAGCCACCCCATATCCACAGCTTGCCGCCAAGAATGTTGTTCTTGTACCATGACTTGCACTCCGCGTTCCAAACGCTTCCTTTATGCCACTCATCGATGTGCCTGTTCAGCTGCATTGTAGGCTCATGTTTAACCTCTAATGCTCGAATCCCTTCTTCCTGTACCTTCTTTGCGCACTTCAAGATGTAATCGACTTGAACTTCATGACTGGGAAGAGCTGTTCCCGCCGCCCAATTTCCCCTCACACCATTAATCACAAAATAGTTTGGAAACTTAGGGACTGTCACAGCGAGGTAGACGTTCGGCTCAGGATTAAACTCATCAGCCATAGTAACTCCATTTACACCGCGGACTTCGAAGGGAGGAGCAAATGCCAAATTAAAGCCGGTAGCGCACACAAGAATGTCGACTTTATGCAGCCTACCCGAGTCATCAATAACCCCTTCAGGGACGACTTTGACAAGCTCGTTGTGGACTGTGGTTACGTTCGGTTTAACCAACGCTTCCAAATATCCATCTCCAGGCGTAATGCGCCGGCAACCAGGCGGCCAGGACGGTATCAATCTTTTCTTAAGTTCATCATGTCCCAGCCCTATTCTTCGGTGCATTTCCTCTCGCATGGTTACTTCAGCAGCCTGACTAACCTCGGACCCACGTATGAACATATCAAATAGTGCGTTCACAGATGACTCAAGCTGCTGCCGATATCGAACGTGGTATTCTGGATCTTCTCGAAATCGTTTCTTCTCTTCCTCGGTATAGTAGTATTGCTTTCCGTCAGGCTGACTCGTGGCGCCGTTCATCTTCATCGCTGCGGTTTTTTGTTTATCGAGAAGGGCTTCGCCGACTGGAGGTGAGATCCATGTCACAGATCTCATGAACGCGATCAGGTGTTTGGCTGTTTTCTGTATCTGCGGCACAATCTGGATAGAGCTCGAACCAGTTCCAATGACAGCGACCGTCTTATCCTTCCAATCGACTTCGGAATCCCAAGCGGCGGAGTGAAGCAAAGTGCCTTTGAAATCGTGCAATCCCTCTATCTTCGGCCATTTCCAAGAATTGAGGAATCCTGTCCCGTTAACGAAGATGTGGCATCGATCTTTGACAATCTTCCCTTCACTTTCAATTTCTACGTTGTACTGGCCGTCTTCTTCGGCCCACTTTGCGGATAAGACCCGAGAGTTCAACTTCACGTAGGGAATGAGATTATACTTCTTAGTGAAATCATCGAAGTATTTCCGAATCTCGGGGGCATATGCATAGAACGTGCTCCAGTCAGGGTTAGGCTCGAAGGAGTAAGTGTAGGCGTGTGCTGGGACGTCACACGCACACCTTTCGCCAATCAGATCATGGTCGGATGGGAATGATAGCATACATACCCAGGATAACTATTCTCAAACCACGTGCCGCCTACATCTGGGTTTTTCTCGTAGCACACGAGTTCGTAATTAGCAAAATTCATTTTCATCTTGTAGGCGAGAAGCAGGCCTGCAGCCCCAGCTCCTACGCAGATGACGCGCAGATGAGTTGGCTTAGAATGCCACTGTGGAAGTATCTCATACGGCGAGGAGTCTTCGTTCTGCGATGGTGTCTCGATAGATGAGATGTGGGAGGATATGCCTTGCAAGCGCTCCGCTGCCAGTGATGGCGGAACCATAGTGATGCAAATGCGAACAGCAACGGTGTATGGGAAAAACTGGAAACGCCGAAATTCTGGTGTCGGAATATCCGATTTATGCGCCTCAAACACTGCATGCATGCTAAATGAACTAAATCTAGGACCGAGGTCATGTCAACGACAGGTGTGTAATTGTGTGGAGAAGCTTTCCCACGTTTCCCGGAGCCAGACGAACCCACCCTGGGATTTCCATTAGATGCCGTTTGCGATAGACGACAGGTTCAGGTTGGTTGGGGTGTTGGAATGAGGTGGGAAGAAAGTATCCGCTAGCGGGAGGCGTGCGGGGAAGATATGGGGGAAAAGCGCAGCTGCATAAGGTTAGAATCCCGATTGAAGACTGATTCGGAAACAGCGACTCTCCTCAAAGATGCTGTGTTGCCGTTTGGAGGCCTACGTAGCTCTTGGCTATGATTGAAGATGGTTGTGAAGATACTTGTGAAGCGGATGTGTCAAAAGTAGCTTAGGCCAACAAGTCCAGATAAACTCTATCCCCAAATGCAAAGCTACAGCTTATCCTTGTGCGTCGTGACCATTATTTTAATGTGATGATCCTTATTGTCCACCAGTTCATCAAACCCTTTCTTCGAGATGTCGTCGATGTGTATCCTGCTTGTCACCATCTTCTCGAGGCCGCTGAACTTCCCTTTACAAGGTGTTAGATATACATTTTCAAAAAATTCCAAGAGGTGATCTTACCAGCGACGAACGCGTCCACCGTCTCCTTGAAATGCTTGTCATCATACGCCATGCTAGCTTTAATCGTGAGCTCTTTCAGCATCAGGAGCATCAGCGGCACGATCATCTAAACAAATCAGCCTAGCTTCGGCGTACTCATATGCCACTAACTCACTGGAGTTTCCCAACCAGCCACATTCATATACGTCCCCTTATACCTCAGAGCATCCATGCCAGCATCCATCCCCTTCTGAATCCCCGCACAATCAAACACGACATCCACACCCTCTCCACTGGTAAACTCCCGGCACCGATCTCCAATTTTCTCTTTGATTGGATTCAATACTTGGTTGGCAAGCTCCTTATTCTGTGCTGCACGGGTAGAGGTCGGTTCAGAAACGAAGATCTGTTTGCAGCCCTTTGCTCGGAGGACGTAAATATGGGCAATTCCAACGGGTCCACCTCCAAGGATGAGTACGGATGTACACGACCAGTCTGTTACTCCAGCAAGTTCGACAGCATGCCACGCTACGGCCAATGGTTCAATCAAAGCGGCCAAAGTCAAGTCGACTGAATGCGGAAGAGGATAACATAGTTTGACGTCGATAGCTATGAGTTCTGAGAATCCACCGCCAGATCCAGAGTACCCCTTAAAACCCCATGAGGCGCATGCGTTGGTGGATGTTTCGTTGCATCGAGAGCAGTTCGAACAATAGATTCGCGGATCCACCATGACAGGTTGTCCGGGAGAGAGATTGGAGCCATTGGGAGCGCTCACAATCCGACCGCAGAATTCGTGGCCCAAGGTTGTTGGGAGATACTCTCCTGTTAGTGGATGCGGACGCTCCTTCCTCGGGATGATGAGTGGGCCTAGGGCACATGAGGGTTGAGTCGAGAAAGGGGAGAGGGAACAAACCGAGCAGGTATTCATGAAGATCCGAGCCGCAAATACCACACCATTCAATAGCAACAAGAGCCTCGTTCTCCTTTGGCTCTGGCTTTGGCACGTCTTGGACGCGGACATCTCGCGCCCCGAAGAATTGTGCCGCTTTCATCTTGAAAATTTAAGATTCGGGCAGTAAAAGGACACATAGAGGTTGGAATGGCCTGGAGGTTCGGGTGGAAAGGTCACAGATGGGATTGACTCCGCACATCCAAGTCAGTTTCTGAGACTAGGGATACGCATGGGAGACGATACGCCATGATGTAACCAACGAGCTCGGAAGAGTAATGCCGGAAAAAACGATGCGGGGGCGATGATGCCAGGCCTCCAATTCATGTCCTAAAGGAGGAGTCGTGTAGCAAAGGAAAAATCCAAGAGTGCATGTGCCAGCAAATTCCTCTCAATTTCATTCCAAAACTTTCTCGCCGGAGATGAGAGAAAAGTGAAGATGCCAAACTGGTGGGAGGAGAGCAGAGCTGAACAGGAGGGGCGGGACCATTCACCGCCTTCCTAACCTAGCTTAGCGCTATTATTTCAACCACACATTCACCACGAACCTTCAGCATTCCCGCATTCCCATCTCATTCACTGAAACTCTAATTCAGCCCTACCCTTCGCAGCCGCCATGCAAGCCTCTAAATGGGCGCCGCGCGGGCCGTCGCCTTTGCCCGCGAGGCCCACGCCCTCACCAAAATCCGCAACCCAGGCTCCTCCTCCCGCCCCAGAACCAGAAACTACGACCACAGCGCCGTCTGAAGGGAAGCAAGATGCGCAACATCCACCCGCACCTGTGCTGCCAGAACTACAACCTGTCGAGGCGTCTACCCCTACCACGGATTCTGTAAGCTTCTCTCCTCCCAGCATACATTTCACCTCCAATGAGTAGTCGCTAACCTTCCCTTTCTTCGCTAGTTCGAAACCATGGCCCCCTACGACTTCGACGCCATCGACCCGTTCGCACAAACCGCAAGCACAGACGACCTTTTCTTCGACGACGACTTCACGCCTATAGCCGAACCCATCGTCGAGCAAACGCCTATCGACACACGAGCGCCCGAACCCGAAGCCCAGGTACCACATTCGCATTCGCAAACCCAGCATATCCCGCGCGGGCCCTCAAACGGCCGAGGTGTGGGTCGCGGGCGAGGGGCTCGTGGACGAAGAGCTCGTGGTGGGCTTATGAATAGCATACACACCGACGCTCGGAACCTCGATAGTCAGAAGGAGAAGGAGAAGGAGAAGGAGAGAGACAAGGACAAGGACAAGGACGACAGCACAAACGATGTCCCGACTCCCCCTCCGAACGCCGAAGCACCCGCTACCACAACCACAACTCCAGCTACAGCCACAGCCCCGACACCTACAGACCCCACAGACCCTCCTCCCTCTACTCAAGATCCCAAGCCACAATCCGTTCGAGGAGACCGCTCCGCTACCGGTGGTCCCAAGCGGTCCCGTCTCACAGAGGCCGAACTCGCCGCCAAAATGGCTGCCATGAAGTCTAAAAACTCCCTCCTAGCAACCGCACACGCACGCGCAGAAGCCGATCTCGCGAATTTCGAAGCGAGGGAGGCGGCGGCCGCGCAGCACAATGCGGAGCGAAGGAAACAGGTTGCTGAGAGGCAGAAAGTGGAAAGGAAAGATAGGCAACAGATGATGGGTGAGAGGGAGCGGAATCGACAGAGGAAGATGGATGCGGTGAAGGGGCGGGAGTGGGATGTGGAGAAGGAGGAGGGGTTTGTGGGGACGGGGGAGGAGAGGAGGAGGGGGGCGGCGAGGGGGGCGTTTGGGGGTGTGGTGCCGAGTACAGGTGTACGGCATGTGGGTGCCGGTGCCGGTGCTGGTGCTGGTGCTGGCGCTGGCGCGGAAGGGGTTGGGGAGGGAGAGGATATACCAATTCCATTAAATTTTCGAGGTCGGGGCCGCGGACGCGGAAGAGGCGCACGAGGCGGACGAGGAGATCACCCATCCACCCATTCTACCCACCAACCCACACCAAACAAGAAACCCCAAGAACAACAACCCCCACCCCCACCATCATCATCCGACTTCCCCGAGCTTCCCCATGCCACCGCCTCTCCCCCAACCCAGGAAGCGCCCAAAAAACTCGACTTCCCCATCACAATCAAGGGGAAAGCCACTGAGATCAAAACGGCGGAGCCCGATCGGCCCAGCGTGAAAAAGCAGGATTCATTCGGTTTGCCGTCGCCGGCGGGTGCGGGGAAAAGTTGGGCAGATCAGGTGGAAGGGTCATGAGTGTCTTTGGGTATGTGATGCCGTTTCTGGAGCGTAGAGCTTGGAGCTTAGACATGAAAGAGGTGGCGGGATGTTGTTGGAGAGTCGGAGTGTCTATGATAGCTTTTGCATACCCCATTCTTGTTTTTTTGTGTGATTGGTCGTTAACAAGGGACTACGGTATTTCAGTTCCTTTGGAATGCGCCATGCATGAGTTGCACTTCGGACTGGCTATTAAACGAAAATTGCATATTCGAAGAACGGAGCCATTGAGATGCCCTAGCACCTTAGGGGCATGCATGATAGCAGAAGCCAAACCATAGCCGATGCTGTATAGACGGTGAAATGCAGCATTGATCTATTGTGCCCCTGTGCCCAGTGACCAGTTTTCAGCTGATGTCTGCAGCAGTGTGCTCAAATTTCCTGCCTATTTAATTCCGAGAGGATTCGGAAACTTACCTGGCGACTTCCTCGGGAGCGGAAGTCGGTAACCCCAAAAAGCATTCTCTAACAGCGGTAAAAGAAATTAATATTGACATATTGGTGTTCGTGTTTGAGGGATCTTGTAGTACGGCTTTTTTTTTTTTTTTTTTTTGTATATAGCTTGATAGAGCTTGTAGGTTTACGTTTAGGGCGACTCAAATGGTTCTCTTTAGGTTTGCAAACTTCTACCAGAGTATTACAAATAATTCTCAACACATTTGAATTTATCGACCAGCTTCGTTCTAGCACTTGCAACATTGCTCACGCTATATTTTTGCTCTCAGTCTACATGCAGAGTTCAATCAAGATTCACACACGCATCCTCCAAACTAAGCACACAAATTCAAAATACTTTTCCCCATTCCATTAAAGTACATACTCTGACAATCACTGCTCCCCGTGATCCAGAAAACCGGCTTTCACTCCTCATCCCACCTCTCTTCTCCTTCCTCCCTCCTCTCCTCTCCCCATTTCAGTCCAGCTCCAAAATTCTGTACATGCTACGCATCTAGAGAGAAGAGAATGAAGGAGTCAACTCCACTAGGAAAGAAGGCCGAGCCGCCCCCTTGTATAGAAAACCTCCTCCACCTTAAATGCCATCAAGGACATATTAATTGAGCGAGCCAGCGGACAGACTGACCCAAATAGAAAAGACACGATATGAAAATCGCTGCTTCGCCAGCCGCCTGCTCGCATCTCGACCAAGGGGGAAGAGGAGGAAGGTAAAGGAAGGAAAGAGAACAGAAAGAGAGGCCCGGCGCCCGCTGGATTATGACGAGAACCATGGTATTGTATTCGCCCAGAAAGAACAAAATCGACAGTTGTATTGATTAGACGGCTAGCAGCTGGACATCTGGAGCATAGCGGTAGGATACCGGCTACTGGCCTACCATTTCGCGTCAGTGTGGGCTAGGAAGAGGATTAGCATGGCAGAAGGACGATATGCAAGTCATGGGTAATTTATGACTCGCCTCCGGTTGATGCCGGAGCACCTTCGCCTTGTCCACCCCGATATCCCCTTCCGCGACCGCCTCGTCCTCGTTGGCTACTCCCACGATCGCTGCTTCCACGTGGATATCCACCTCGGCCTCGCCCACCGCGTCCACCCTCACTGTCAGAGGCACCTCCACTGCGGTAACCGCCGCTTTGGATGCCTCCCCGGTTGCTCGCTTGCCAGCTACCGGCTCCGTACTTAGGGTTGGTTGCAGGATCACGATAGATCTTGACGCTCGGCTTCTCTGGAGACCTGGAGTTTTTTATGTCCGGCGAAATTCGGTTGAATGCAGCTGTCATATCAGAAGGCGTGGCAAAGTGCGCAATGAAGAAGTGCTTTTGCTTCTCGATCTTCTCCACCTTGGACTTGTCCTCATCAGCAAGCAGGCTCTTGGCCTCGTCCTCGTCCTTTACGTTGACAATGAAGAGGGCCTTTTGCTCTTTCCTCTCCTCCCTCGGTGCAGGGGACGAAGGGCCCTTTTCTGGAGCAGCTGTTCCGTTTGGCTTGACCTCACTGGGAATGGCCTTCTCGGCAGCGGCATTTGCCGGGGCATTGGTACCCACAGGTGCACTCGGTTGTGGCGTTGCTGGCTTAATGAGGTCCTTTGGGGTTGCGGGAACGGGAGATGGGCCAGTTCGTGGTGGCTGCGATGCAGGCTTCATCTGTTGTTGTTGCACTGGCGGGGTTGCAGTTGCCGTGCGTGCCTGTTGTGGGGTGCCTGATGGCGGCATGTTTGTTCGAGCTTGCGCAGGAGACGGCTGTGTCGCAGGATTCGGGCCGGGCGCTGACTGATTACCAGTCGGGGCAACTGGTGGTGCTCCTTGAGCTTGAGGGCCCGCCTTACCACCACGGTGCGCGAAGTTGAAGCCTTGCGCCCTCATCTCGGTACCAATCCTGCCATTGTCGATATCTAGGACTAGCCATCCATAGGCCGCATCGGCCAGGTTAAAGTTCCACATGTTCTTGAATGCGCTCTCGTCAATGACGCCACTCTGGGGGCCAGGTGCCGGGCCGCCAAATGGATTGCCGCCATTGGCGATGGTGGGCATCTTGTTGACAATATCGAGTGCTAGAGCGAGAAGGCGCTGCTGCGACTCGCTGTCGGCAACCGCAGGCTCAACCTCAGACTTGACCGTATCCCAGACATCGTTGAAGGACGCCTTTGACGCAGCGAGCTTGCCACGGTAGTGATCCAGGGTTGGGTTCACGCTGAACTCATTGTACGAGCTGCCGTACCTGAAGTGCAGGCCTGCGGAGATGGAGAAGTCTGCCTTGAGCGTGACTGAGAGCTGATTCAGCAGACCTTCACGTGCCGGAGAAGCGTGCGTGACGAAGATGCGAGTTTCAGTTGGGTCATAGACACGATTGGCCGTATCCACGAGCTCGCCCATCTGTAGCAGCGTTGTCCACATGGTCCCCTGGCCACCAGCAATTGTAGTCCTGCCCTCACCATTATCGAATAGCTTGTGCATCACCACCGCGCCGCCAAGGCCGAGGAGTCGGAGCTTCACACCACCCACATCGATCAGCCGTGAGTGTGCCTCGTCTATGATGTGTAGGTTGTCGATCTTGTACTCGCCGGAGCGCAACTTCTCCAGAACCTGGACGTCCTCACAAGCTCCCCATACCGTATAGACAGGCACATTCAGGGTATACGTCTTATTCAGGAAGAGGGGTAGCTCGGAGAGGGGAAGGTGTTCGCGTGCGAAGCGTTCCTTGATGGGAGGCTGTGGTGGGGCGGCAGCAATTGAGCGCTTCACAGCATCGGACAGCAGGGGTGAGTACTGGGCGACATGCTTCAGGGTCCTACGACTGTCAATACCAGAAGCCCAGCATTCAGGTGCAGAATAACATACTTGTCGGCGATGCGGTCGAGCGAGCGGTCATCGTAGAAGCCAAAGTCACCTGTGTGTATGATGTAGTTGGCTCGAGCATCTGCGGCGAGCTGGTTGAGCGACTGGAGGTTACCTGGGCGATATCAGCTCGACGGTCGCTGCTTGCTTGGAGGAGTTTCATTGTATTACCTCTCACATCGGCGACGCAGAGAACTCGGGCGCTGGCTGTCTGTATTACGCGACCCTGATTAGGAAGGAGTGGTGCGGCTCCAGGCACGGGACCAGAAGGAGCTCCGCCGTTGGGGAGGTAGCTTGGGGGGTACGGGCGCGGCTGGTTGGGAGCCTGCTATGGCGCCGTCAGCAAGGGTGGATAGGAATGGGTTCGGGGATTTGGCGAGGGGAGCGGCGGTAAACTTACAGAAGCCATAGGGGACGGAGGAGATGCCGACGGGGGTGCCAGGTGA